TTTTTTTTTTTTTTTTAACTTGGAAAGATTGCAAAGGGACAATGAAGTTTTTAAAAGAGCCATGTCCAAACCCATCTTCACGGATAGCTCAGAGGTGTCCTCTTTTTGCCTCCCCCATTTTAACTCGCCACATCCCAGTCGTAGTGGGGTTTTTGTCTTTCTATTCCACAGAAGTTGTTGTTCAGATGTTGGTCTTAATCATTTGCCAACTAATTTTAAAATAAAAGGCACTGCACATAATTTGCATTTTAAAGGGCCCCATGAGGGTGTTTTTCCTTCCATTTTTGTTTTTCCTTCCCGTTTTTGTTTTGTTTTCATTTTGTTTAGGGTGGGGGGTGGGAAATTTGGGTTTTTAAGTCCTCTAAACACACTTGGGCACGGAAATGCAGTACTGTAAGGAAGAGGGACCTCCAGCTCACACAAACATCACCTTCAGCTGTATGGAAGGGACGGTTGTATTGGAGTTTGTAAGGCACAGTAAGCATGCTAAGTGGCGGGATCAGAACTCTCCTGTCTGAACCTACTGAGGAGCAAAGCAGCAATTGCCTGGGATCCTGTGGGTCTCCCGTTGTTGAGGCCACAGTGAGATAGTAATGGAACGTGACTGGTCTCCTAACCAAGGTGCACTGAGAAGCAATCAACGGGTCAGTTGTGGCCAGTCCTGGGGAGGTCTGAGTGGCGGTCTTTGGGATAACCTTTGGCCTTATGGATTTGGACTCGAAATTAGAAGAGCCTACCATTTCAGATGCAATCACTTTTGGACATGCTTTTGCAGACAGTCCTTAATGCTGAAAACACAGAGAATGGGTAATTCAAGAGGCCTTTCTTTTAAAATAGACTTTTGTGACCCACTAATTGTAAGGTATTGCAAGGTCACTTTGCGTGTGTCATAAAGTTGACTTCCTTATTGGTTGAAGGTCACAGAAGTAGTGGTTTGCTTTGATGGAAATAGCTACAGCTGTGTCCCTTCCTGCTTTTTACTTTTTCTTTTGCTTTTTCTCGGCACGTGGTATCTCCACCATTTCTTCTGCACAAAGATGTCTTCTGTTCATCCTGAACATTTTTAAAAAAATGCAGAATTTTATGTGACTGCTTTTTTGCCTCACAATTATGCTGTGAATTTTACAAAAATTTATTTTCTTTTTTGATAATTTATTGTACCAAAGCTGTTTTTATAGCACATAGATGTCTGTAACCAATAATGTAGCAGTTCTGCACTTTGACACAAGGTGTAACTAGACCATTTTTAAATGTCAGTTGAAAATTATGGCTGTACTATTGCTTAAACAAAACTGGAACTGTTGTTGAATCCATAGCCAATACATTTACAGCAATCTGTGTACTGAACATAATAGATTGACATCTAACTCAAGATTACAACAGCTATTACATCCTAAATGTGTTCAGGCTTCTGAAGGTAAAGGGACACTGGATCCAGAAGCTGTGGAACCAGCAGTTGATTCTTGTATTCCTGATTAACCTACTTGTAAACTTGAAAGCAAGACCTTGATTGCACCAACAGGTCCAAAATATGAGCACGAGTAAAGCAAAACTTTCATGCATGACCTGAAAGGGAACAGGCTGGTGTTTAACAGGTGCCTAGTTTTGAGATTATGCTGCCTTAATGTAACACAGTCTGGCAGTTGCTAAATTTGTGTTCCCATTTTAAATTGACCAATTTTATGGTGTTAAACTTTTGAGCGGTTGAGTTGGGAGAATGAAGATTAAGGAATTTACCTGTCCGGGATCAAAGAAGCCTAGAAAAGAAGCAGTAATCTACCTCTGCCGATAACCCTGTTCAAAACAACTCAGCAGAAACACCACATTACTTTTTATCGGTCAATTCCATGTGGCTGACTAGATCAGTTTTTTCTGAACAAGAGCAGGTTTTTATATGTGATCAGTGACAAAAGAAAAAAGGCTTAAAACTTTGTGAATGGAAACTTGGGAATATCAGTTTTTATAAACCACAAAATTTTTTTTTGTTGTTAATCAGGAAATCCATATTTATTTTGTAATTAAATGTCAAGCCTGTGGATGGATTTTTGAACTCGGTAGTTCATAAAGTTTACAGTGAATAAAAGGACATCATCTTGAGTCTAGCAATATCAAAAGGAATTCAGTAGTTACTGCTGTTTAGGAATATAAGGTGAAGATACATGGGTCAGGTCATTTCTTTCTGTGCTGGTTGCCACATCTTAGCAAGCACCAAAAAACGAAAGCAGTTTTTAAACCGCTATTTACATAAAGGAAGTCATAAAATCCAATGCTTCTGCATACTGTGTTATGTTACAGTCCAGTTTTGTGTGCTTTACTACACGGTTTGGTTACAGGACTTCTGTGCATTGTAAACATAAACAGCATGGAAAAGGTTAAATACCTGTGTGCAGATTGTAAGATCTGGTCCGGACTTGCTGTGTATATTGTAACGTTAAATGAAAAAGAACTCCCCTTTGTATTATAGTCATGCGGTCTTATGTATGATAAACAGTTGAATAATTTGTCCTCAGACTCTTTACTATGCTTTTTTAAAATTAATTTAAGAAAAATGTAAACATAGTCGAAATCTTTCTATGCAATTAACCTGGTCCAGGTAATGAATGGTCTGGTAGGTATACTGACTATAAGTTTAGTCAGATGTGTAGAAAGGAAAACAGTAGTTACATCAACGTAGGCTTCAAAAATCTTGGAAAGTAAACATTGGAGGTTTAACAGACCATTTTGATTTTTTAAAATTGTTTCTTTACTTGATATTCACAGTTTCTCTTTTGATTCAAAGTGCTCATAGGCCGTAATGTTTAGGATGGATGTGAGAGTTAGATGATTTTTTCTAGGATTTGACCTGCTTGGAAGCAAGAGGAAATACAAATAATATCGTTCCTCTTTCCCCAGATCCTTGATGGGGGCCTATCAGGGACTTTATACAAGAAAGTCTAGAATTCCTGCCACAGTGAATTAATCCTAACCTAAAGTCTCCTGTTTTTTATAAGTTAGCCTGCATAAGTATACATTAAGGTGGCTTTCAGAAGGCAAAAAACTTACTGTAAATTTAAATGTGATTTTGTAAAGTTCAGATTGTCTACATAAAGTGCACTTACCACATGTATGAAAGAAACTTCCTTTAGTGTTTTTCTTAGGGTAATGAGCATTTTATAGGTAAGTGGCACATTTTGTATATCAGACTCCAAAAAACTTAGGCTTATTTTTATTTAATGAATATTAGAACTATTGATACATGTGAAAAATCATTAAGGCTACAATAATTATATAAGGCCCACAAGATGACTACTCTGTTTGCTACTGTATCGTCTTTCCCAGCTCCTATGTTGTTAAACTTATTGTTATATAAGTCTTATAATAAGGCAATACAGTAATGAGATAGTAAATGCTAAATTTCTTCTAGATTAGTTCCCCAGTTTCCTTTTGGCCTGGCTTTACTTTGTTAGCTCTCAGAATACAAGTTCAGTACTCATTTTTATATCCATTTTTGTAGTGGTGACCAAAGCTAACAGATCAGACGGTTCATTCCAGATACAGAACTTGGTCTTAGTGCCATATATGAAAAAAAAGTTTGAAATTTTAAGATTAGGGTTAGGAGAAAAACCGATCGGTATACTGAGTCTATTCCGATTTCTTAGAATCCTTGGGATTGCTCGACATTGGGAAGCCTTTGGTGTCAGGAAGTGCAGAGTAGAAGGTCTCATTTTCTTAACCATGGATCTCCTTCCCTAGACTTGTTTCCTAGGGTGAAAACATATATCAAGTAATTTTTAGTACAAAGAACAAGAAAACCCTAAGAACATAGCTTATTGTAGTCTTCATCATCCCTCATAATGCATAGCAGTAACCTGTCTCCCCGTCCCCGGAGAACCATCTTGTGGGTATCACCTGGGCTTTCACACTCTAGTAGTCATTCCTACATATCCCTTTGTTTAAAGCACTCGTTATTTTTTTTGTGGAAGACTCATTTAGGACGGTAAGTGGTCTTGTCGGTTTGTGCGTTTTTCTTTCTCTTTGGCATTATGTACAGCCAAGGTCCCTGGTTTCAGCCGCTCACAGGAAAACATGATAAAAGAGCTAAGGTGTTCTTGCATCATAATTTTGGGGGATACCATTCATCTTAACACAGAGAGGGCCCGAGGTGTTTGTCATCAGTTTTCTTACCTGAGATCTTCAGAGACGAAAGTATTTCACCAACTAAAACACAATGATTTAAATGTGTACCAGATAACTAGGTAGAGCCCCACAGATTTCAATATCAGCTTCTTTACATGAAAACACAGGGTTTATTTATTTATTTATTTTTTGCAGCACGCGGCCTCTCCTGTTGCGGAGCACAGGCTCCGGACACGCAGGCTCAGCGGCCATGGTGCACGGGCCCAGCCGCTCCGCGGCATGTGGGTTCTTCCCAGACCGGGGCACGAACCCGTGTCCCTTGCATCGGCAGGCGGACTCCCAACCACTGCGCCACCAGGGAAGCCCAAAACACAGGGTTTTTGTTTTGTTTTTTACATAATTTCACACCTTGAGGGTATGACCTTTTATTAAAGAGAGCGGTGGGAATGACTAAGTTTCAGTCTTGGCATGTCATGAATTCCCTGCCAACTGCAGCAGGAGTTGGGGACGCCGCTTCAGAGCAGCAAGGAGGGAAGATGAATCTCCAGTTCGCTTCCTTGTGCCTTAACTGGATGTCAGTGTCCAGTCTCAGCTGGGTTCTGAAGGAACAGAGGTACTGCGGTAGGAATCTTGTTGGCTGGTAAAATGCAGTTTAAATGTGTGCCAGGAAAAATGGGTGACAAAGCCCCTGGTGAAGGATGGAGGAGGTGGGCCGTAAGTGAGCGCACACCCGTTCCGGGTGAAGATGTGCCCTTGGGTGATGCAGGCTCGGGTGT